TATCAGGTGGGTAATGGCGAAGTGCAGGCATAAGAGACATTTGCAGAGAACATTAATGTCGCATATTTCATCCGTTCGAGTGTTACTGTATCAGAATAGCATGTTGGCGCTGTTGTTCGTAAGTCAACGGCTTGCTATATGCCTGGCTAGCTGCACCAAAGCAACAGGAAATACAATTCTTTACCAAGGAATTTGAACACTAATGATGAATTTTGTGCTTTCGCAGGGCCATTTGCTATATGCTTCTTGGCTGGCTGCACCAAAGCGACAGAGGATAAAATCCTTGATCAAGGAAATTGGCGATAATGACGAATTTTATGCTTTCTAAGGGCTCTAACCTGATAACCTAGTACCTATAATCTGGGCAGTGTTCGAAGCCAACTCTGTACCACTGCGGCAAGACATCACAACGAACTAAGGATCAGAAACGATCATAGTAAGTCTTATTTCCACAACCTCAAAGTGGCAAAAGGGATATAACGAGATCTCAATACGATGTGAAACCAAGCCTATAAGCTCTGGCAGGTTCAATCAATCAAGTCAAATTTTGAGAAACACACCCTACAGACCAGAGGACTTTATGCTAAAAGATTAAATCACAACTAAAACAACGGCCATCATTCTCCGAAGAGTGGATTGCCTCCGGTGAAGGCAGCAGATGGCCAGGAATGAAGATAGAGGGTGCTTAGAAGAGACCTGCTACGGTTTACTAATGCTAGCAACGTACAACTGGTGATTATGTCTAAGCGAAACATGGCTTCAAAAACTGGAAGAAGTGGGACATTGTAGGACTCAGGGTAGTTGGACAAAAGAAGGACAGGTTATCAAAGCCTAACAGAGGACATCTCCTTTTCCACAGAGGATCAACAAAACAAATGAAAAGACAACGAAAGTAGGGTTTACTATCCACAGAAGGTTAAGAAATAATTTGTTGCAAGCACAGGATTTAAAATTTGTCAAAATCGGACGAACAGCAACAACGTAACGAAGGCTTCGTGGACCAACTTAATTATACAGCCAAAGGAACGAAAGGGATGACCGACCGAGTAGTCGAGTATGCTGAGTGGAACAAGTTATTTTTTGAAAACAAAATATTTTTGATAAAGAAAGACAAGCAAAAAATTAGCTATGACGTCGAAAGTGAAATCAATTTCATCGCCAATGACATGAAGAATACAGTACTTGAAGCAGTGGTGTCGAATAGTTTAAACGCATGATGTGAACACAGGCTGATTAAGTCTAAGTACATTTGCACACAACTTTAGTTAGAAGGAAATTATTGAGGATGAAGGGAAGAGCAAAATACGCTCAATGTAGAAACAGCGACAATGAGTCAGTCAACCGTCAATGTAACTCAAATTAAATAATCGATTCGATGTCGTTCACGAAATGTAAGAAGTAGAAAAAGATGACGATGCGAAGAATCAACGTGACGTCATCAATATATACAGAACGATGTTACAAAAACCGCGTAAAATATTGCTGTAACAAGGAACATGATGGTCGATGGAAGAATTATAAAGAAAAGGAAAAAGCTCATTAAAAAAGAAATAAAACCAGCAACATATCAGAAATTAAACATCGAATACATGGAACTTCACAAAATTTTAAGCGAACGGATACCAGGAGACACATGAGTATCTAGCCAAAGTAAAATATTGAAAATAACCAAATGATGAAGAAATAGCATAAAAGATTTACGGTCAGCTAATGACAAATTTTGGCTCAACAATCGGAAGATTGGTCTGCCATCAGAGACACACAACAGATCCTAAACGTAGTCGAAGATTTCCATAAAAAACTATACAAGGATGAGAACAATAAAACACCCTAGGAAATGAAAAAAAACTAAAGGCATAAATAATGGCAAAATTTCAAGTACCTTGAAAGAAGTGCGACAGGCAATAAAACAACCAAAGTGAGAAGGAGCTTCCGGTGAAATACGCACTACACTGAAGTCATCGATATTCGTCTGAACAAAAGGAAACTTATGCCTCTCTGAAGTAGGTCATCCCTGCTACGAAAAACGGGCCAGCGGATAAAAATGGCATCCAGCACGTTTGGAAGATTTAAAACGTTTTTATGCGAGAAATTACCCTTGTGTTTGGAACGGAAATGAAAATTTTTGATCATTTAATATTCGTAGTGACCATTCATGGTTGCGAAACGTGGACACTAAGTCTGCAATCTGCTGAGAAACTACAGACGATGAAATGCAGCATGGAACGCTGCATATTGTCGATAACAAGAAAAGACACAAAGACAAATGAATAAACAGGAGCAAATGCAGATTCTGAGATGTCACAGACTGAGTGAAGAAGTCACTGTGGCAATGGGCCGGATACAATGCAAGAAGAACCGATTATCCGTGGAACAGAGAAACTTTAAACTTTGTTACAAGAGAGAGTAAACGGCCCGTAGGAAGGCGTCAGGTTCTATGG